TGATTATGTGTAACAGATGATATATAAAAATTCACCACCTGCGCTGCAAGTGTTCACATGCATATAAACACATTCCAGAAAAGGACAGTGCCTGCTAATCACAAAACAGACTCAGAACAAAATACAAATATTGTATATAAATAAAATTCTTTCAGAGGAGGGTGATTGGGACTGCTGTATTCAGCCCATGGAGACAAAATAAGCCAAGATAATGTTATCTGTGAAAAAGTATCTTGTGGACACCCTACTAAAAAAGGAGAGTGTTGATTTCTGCTGATTCCCCCCACTCACAGCAGACCCCTATGACATTGTTCTTGAGAGTCCACTGGCCCTTAAGAACAAAATGTGAGGAAAGGGGGGGGGGTCAACATAATTGCTGCCCACTTTTAAGAAAAGGGCACAATTTTTCTTAACTTCATGGCTGGATGTCTCAGATACCTCTGCACCTCAAATTATACCAGTTTTTCGTTTGCTTTTGTTTTGCAGTCAAACATGCTAAGAAAATGTATACTTTCCTCAAAAAATTAAGAAAATAAAATATATAAGGCACAAAAGTCCCACCGACTATCACACACAGCACAAGGTCTATGAAAATTACGAGTATAGAAGACAGGTTTTTCCCCCATCAGAGGGGAGAAAGAACAGAATTCATGCAGAAAGAACAGAATTCAAAATATTAAGATTCTTAATTTTCTGAGAGCAAGAGAGAAAGGTAATACCTGGTACTTCATAACCAAAACACAGAAACAGTCTCCATACAATATTTCCCCCAGTATTTATATTACAGAAGGATGGTGAAGAGGAGCATTAAAAGGAACTGTTATATACTGATTTCACTCAGAAAGTCAAAGAACAAAAGACAAACAGAAGTACAAGTCAAGCTAGCAGCTGGCTGATTGTGTTCACAGCTCACATATTGGAAAGTCCTATTCAGAGAAACGAACAGTTGAGCCTCGGCAGCCATAGATGATAACAGTGGTGTGGCTACTAGAATCTGGAGACATGCCTTATGGGAGACATGCCTTATGTATCTCAAAGAGAAATCAGGGCAAAGGGCAGAAAAGAAAAATGAACTTTCTAATATTGTTACCTGCCCACTGCAGAAAAAAAATTGCAACTCAAATGTGAGCCAGGCTTAGACAGCTATAATATATTACTTACTGTCTGAATACCAGCCAGAATGTATGTCTCATTAAATAAAGCAATGCACTGGCCAGAGTTAAGCACGTTTAAATCCCACTGATTTCAATGGGAGAACTACAGTGCAATCCCAAGACCACTCTCCTGCTAGTAAGCCCCATTGAAAAGACCTGAGTAGCTGAACGATAACTGGATTGTGCTGAACGATAACTGGATTGTGCCTTGATTTTCCTGTTTAAAGGAACTAACCATGGCATTACTATGAACGATACTATATAATGCATGAATGCTAAACACCACATTCGGTCGCATTCCCCCAGGAATACATTTTTTTCTGGAGCTGTTGCACACATAGAGGGGGAAATATATTAATAGGTTTCTTCTTTCAATTGAAAGAAAGGCGGAAGACAGGAGGGCCTGGCGGGAGATGATCCATGGGGTCGCGAAGAGTCGGACTCGACTGTGCGACTGAACAACAACAACAACAACAGATGATATATAAAAATTCACCACCTGCGCTGCAAGTGTTCACATGCATATAAACACATTCCAGAAAAGGACAGTGCCTGCTAATCACAAAACAGACTCAGAACAAAATACAAATATTGTATATAAATAAAATTCTTTCAGAGGAGGGTGATTGGGACTGCTGTATTCAGCCCATGGAGACAAAATAAGCCAAGATAATGTTATCTGTGAAAAAATATCTTGTGGACATCCCACTTAAAAAGGAGAGTGTTGATTTCTGCTGATTCCCCCCACTCACAGCAGACCCCTATGACGTTGTTCTTGAGAGTCCACTGGCCTTTAAGAACAAAATGTCAGGAAAGGGGGGGGTCAACATAATTGCTGCCCACTTTTAAGAAAAGGGCACAATTTTTCTTAACTTCATGGCTGGATGTCTCAGATACCTCTGCACCTCAAATTATGCCAGTTTTTCGTTTGCTTTTGTTTTGCAGTCAAACATGCTAAGAAAATATATACTTTCCTCAAACAATTAAGAAAATAAAATATATAAGGCACAAAAGTCCCACCGACAATCACACACAGCACAAGTTCTATGAAAATATGAGTGTAGATGACAGGTTTTTCCCCCATCAGAGGATCACTGGCTTCATGCAGAAAGAACAGAATTCAAAATATTAAGATTCTTAATACCTGGTACTTCATAACCAAAACACAGAAACAGTCTCCATACAATATTTCCCCCAATATTTATATTACAGAAGGATGGTGAAGAGGAGCATTAAAAGGAACTGTTATATACTGATTTCACTCAGAAAGTCAAAGAACAAAAGACAAACAGAAGTACAAGTCAAGCTAGCAGCTGGCTGATTGTGTTCACAGCTCACATATTGGAAAGTCCTATTCAGAGAAACGAACAGTTGAGCCTCGGCAGCCATAGATGATAACAGTGGTGTGGCTACTAGAACCTGGAGACATGCCTTATGGGAGTGACCAGAGCTTTATGTATCTCAAAGAGAAATCAAGGCAAAGGGCAGAAAAGAAAAATGAACTTTCTAATATTGTTACCTGCCCACTGCAGAAAAAGAATTGCAACTCAAATGTGAGCCAGGCTTAGACAGCTATAATATATTACTTACTGTCTGAATACCAGCCAGAATGTATGTCTCATTAAATAAAGCAATGCACTGGCCAGAGTTAAGCACGTTTAAATCCCACTGATTTCAATGGGAGAACTACAGTGCAATCCCAAAACCACTCTCCTGCTAGTAAGCCCCATTGAAAAGACCTGAGTAGCTGAACGATAACTGGATTGTGCTGAACGATAACTGGATTGTGCCTTGATTTTCCTGTTTAAAGGAACTAACCATGGCATTACTATGAACGATACTATATAATGCATGAATGCTAAACACCACATTCGGTCGCATTCCCCCAGGAATACATTTTTTTCTGGAGCTGTTGCACACATAGAGGGGGAAATATATTAATAGGTTTCTTCTTTCAATTGAAAGAAAGGCAATTTAGGGAACAAAACCAAATGAGAATGACAAAGGAATGAATACCAAGCTGAATCTGGTAACACCAAGGCACAATATTTATCACAACAAAAATCTGAAGAAGGTAGAAACGGAAGAATTATCCAAAGATAAGAACAGAGCTGTGTTTGTTATTAGAAAGTAGAAAGAGAACTGGAAAAGAAATGAAATTAAAGAGATTAGATAAAATATGTCCTAATAAAAAGGGAACAAAAATGGATTAGTTCAATTACACTCCAGAAGTTAAATTAAACATGCACAATGAGAGTTACTCATTATCCTATAAGAAATACAAAAGAAAAAAGAAGCAGACGAGATACTTACTCTTCATCACGCAAGTCATTAATACTTCGATCTAGTGAGATCATGTCACTTGCTACCATGTTAAAGCCAAACTCTTTAATACTGGCTTGAACTGATTCTTTATACTCTGGTCCCAAAACATATGGCTTGGCTTCCTCTCCAGGGCCACCTACAACTCCATGGGGCTCAGGTTCTTTGGGTTCAAAGTTACCAAGAATTCCAGATTGCAATATGGGATCATGGTAGGTAAGTGTCTGTGGCTTAAATGTGAGATACTGTCGCTGCATGATGTTTTGCTGATCATTATTGCCACCAGCATGAGGATTTCCTTCATTTTTGGCCTTATTCCTTCGTCGAATTGATTCCAAGTCTACTTCCACACCTTCTACATGAGGCCAGGGTAACACAGGCTTGAACTTGTCATTTCCGGGAACCAGCCCACGGTCTCCATTGTTTGGCAAGAGATTGCTGGAATCTTTGTCATCCTACAAAGAGAGGCAGATAATAATTTAAAACAAAATCATTAACAGAATTTCAGGCACAGCTTCACCTTTCAGCGCCATTTTTGTTGCCAGTTCTTTACTCCCAATCTCAATGTAAACTATCCAAATCAATGGAATCCGCACACAAGTATGACACACAAAAATTAGTTAAAGTATAACATGAGTTAGTGTAAAATTAGTATTAAGTACAATACTTCTTTTGTTCCTGCTAATTGTACTGTCAAATCCATATTTCATAATCCAATATTCACATATTTCAAAGCAGAGAATATAGAAGGGTTGCAGCACAGATACTACTGTGCGTACAGGAAGTCTCTTATCAAAGTCATGTTTGAAAGGCAGGGTCGATTACAAAGGCTGTGTATGTCATTTAAGGACCAGGTAACTAAATCTAGAAATTTGTTGTTAGATAAATATATTCCATAATCTTTTGCAATATGCACAGTCCACTTAAATTATCATAATCAAGACAGACACAAGTTTAACAATACGCCAGTGAGCAAGGCAGGCTACATTAGGTCAGGAAAAACCACCAGAACAAATAGGGCTTAAGAAGCCAGATGTGAACTGGGAGAGCCAGTCTGGTGTAGTGGTGAAGAGTGTTGGACTAGTATCTGGTAGACCCAGGTTCGAATCCCCACTCATGCCATGGAAGCTTGCTGGGTGATCTTGGGCCAGTGACACTCTGCCAGCCTAGTTAATGATAAAGATCAGCAAAATGTGTGAGCGATTATGTGTTATATATTGCCTCTTCTCCTGCTACAACATATATACCGAAACTGTCAATACAATCCTAAACAGAGTTATATTCTTCTAAATCCATTAAAGTCAATGGGTTTAGAAGGGTGTAACTCTGACTAGGATTGTACTGTGTGTAGGATTGTACTGTGTGTTTCCAGCCATTACCATGCTTAAACCGCTAGTGTGCCATATTGACTTTGCCTCTTGTTTTTCTTTTGGTTTTTTGTAAACACTCCCCCGTTTTGTTTTGTACTGGATGTGAAACAAACCCTTATTTTTCAAAGTCTCATTATTTCCACTTCTTGTTCAGCACTGAGTGTACAACTAATGATTTTGAATATTTTGGAGAAACAGTATAAGATAGTACTGTATGATCCAGCCACTGCTGAAAATTCACTTCCCTACATGCCAGAATGTCTCCTGAAAATTGAAAACCATGCAAGTGCTTGCATTTCAAAGAAGGTTATCTCATTGCAAAGAATAAAGGTATCACTACAATTTACTTCCCCCCGCCTGCCATGGCATCTGAGGATGCTAAACTACAATTGCAAATGAAGTTTTCACTAATCTTATTAGATTTCTTCACAGTGCCAGCAGAAGCTCTGAAACCAGAATTCCAGGAGTCTCTGGACAGATTAAGATTTTAAAGAGCACATAAACCAGTGTTCCTCCTTGATATCACGTATTCATAAACAAGGGTAGCAGTCAACCCTTGAACAGAAAGGCCTCTATATTTGAGCAGAAGGAAGGCCTTTGGCAGACACAGAAGATGACCTACCCATGGTTATCCAACTATGACAATAAGGATCTGAGCTGTAACATCAAGTGACATACTAGATGTTTTTAATTTAAGTAGCTATTACTGGACAGCTTTAAATATGAATAATGAAATGACTCTCAGAGAGCGTATCAGTGTGAAGTGAGATTATGAGCTGACAAAACTGATACAAGTTGCAATGTACAAGTTCAAAGTAAAAGTTCAAGGAAAAGAGGATATAAGCATTACCTCTCTCCCTCACACACATACAAGATTTTTGTAGAACTTGTGATCACAGATGAATGAATTCTATTAATGGATAGACAATTTATACATTTCCTTGTTATCATAGCAAGACCTTTTATTGTTTTTATGTTATTATTCAAATTTTAATTTTAAAACATTAATGTTACTTTTATTCAATATAGTACTGGACTTTACTATTTATTTATTGAGAGTGGAATAAATTCACATTAATGGTTGCATACTCATCACAAATGACAAATCCCTTTATTTGGCTGACGGCTTTGAATCCCAGGCCCATGACAATGCCCATGACTGCCCAAATGAAAAACTCCAACATAAGTACTGAGCACTGATATACTTTTGAAAAAATATCTATTCCTATGGTACATCTCACTGTTATCTAGGCAAAGGAAAGTGCTTCTCAGAATGTGCTCTCTAGGAGCGTCATAGTAGCAATTAAAAAAAAGAAAAGAATAATCACCATAAATCTTACAGGCTATTAGTTTATTTATAAGAGTGGTTGCTGTTTGATATACCTAGAGCATGTACTGGGTACAGCAACTAATTAAAATAAACACCATTTCCCTCAATCTAAGAAATATGAAAGGCAACAATTATGAATGTGCCTCAAGTCTTTTTGACACAGTCTTTGTTGACATAAGAGTTACAGCTTGACAGGTGTCTCTGGGAGGGAGGAACTACCGCTCTCATCCAAGGAAGCAATTTCTGACCAAGTTGCTTTCAATGTTATTTATGTATACTGGATGAAGGCCCAATTATATGATCGGATGTGCCAGGAAATAAGTAGGTACAATTAATATAATGAAGAATGAGTTAGTGTCTAACCTGTTGTGCTGGGTCAGTGTCATGAGCCAAGAAAAATGTCATACACGTAAAGCAAGGATGTGTTGCGTAAGAAATAAACTAATAAGGTCTTATAGAAGATGCTTCTGTGATAAGCGGAATAAAAGCAGTTTTCAGTCCAGACAATTTTTTATGCTGGCAGTAGCTGTGCCAGTGTTGCATGGCTTATTTCCTTCATCACAAGCAGAGGAGTGTCACAAGACACTATGGACAGGTATGCAACTCTGTCCTCTCAATTATGTTATGTCAACAGAGAAAGTCATACTGTAGGTAATTATGGTGGGGCAAGCCTGGAGAATTGGCCTGTATGCTTTAAGCAATAAACTTTGTATAGTGCAGCATAAGCACTAATTCCTACAGTACCACGAATTTGGTGCAATCTTAGCTGTAAACTGGTTTTTATAATCTTTTTCTTCTTGAGTGGCTGATATCTGCAGTGAAGAGATGCAGATGGATTTTTAAGAAGTGTCCCTGAAGGCAGATATCAAAAATACAGACCCATAAATGGTATAAGCAACATTATGGCAAGTTGGTAAGACCAGCAGAAAATATCCCATCCATAGCAACAGGATTCCCTTTGCATTCTTCTCCAGTGCGGTATAGTGGTTAAGCATGGCGGACTCTAATCGGAGAACTGGGTCTGATTCCCCACACCTCCACATGAAACCATCTGGGTGCTCTTGGCCCAGTCGCTGCTCTCTCCGAACTCTCTCAGCCCCACCTACCTTGCAAGGTGCCTATTGTGGAGAAAGGAAGGGAAGGCGATTGTAAACCGCTTTGAGATTCCTTAGGGTAGACAAAAGCAGGGTATAAAACCCAATTCTCCTCCTCCTCTGCAGTTTCTCTCTACAACATCCCAAAACCAAGGGCTCTTTTTGTAGAAAAAGCCCAGCAGGAACTCATTAGCATATTAGGCCACACCCCTGACAACACAGCTTATTAGCACATTAGGCCGCACCCCCATGTTACCAGAAGTGTGGTTATCCAGCCACAGCCACCTTTTGCTTGTTATTCTGTAAATGCTGAAAGTTGCCTTAAGTAAATTTCCTCTGTTGCTCACAGGGTACATGTATGCATGCACATATGGTTGTCCAACCCTTGAAACACCTCTTTGATAGAAACCCCCCCCCACACACACACACATTAACTCTCTGTACCATACTTTCAAAATAATGACAGAATATATCTATTGATTTTGGGAGGGGTGGATGAATCCCGAAGCTTTGTTCATTCTTCTGTTTCACTTCATCTGATTTTCTAGAATCTTAGGAGATTTGGTTGCTCTAATAAGTCAAACATACTATTGCTGCTATCTATTTGCCGGCAAGGAAAAATCCTATTACTCAACTTCACATCCCACCTGTCAAAAATTACACCTCCTCTTCCCAAAAGACTGCCCTTGACAATATCTTTGCTGCTTTTTCAGCACTGCTCCAAAGGCAGCTGCAAGAATCTACATCTTAAACTTTCCTGTCAGCAGCACTATGCTTTTTAGGATGTTTCAATAAGACACACCTCTAATGAATTCCACCCGTAACAATCCATTTGTCACTATAAACCTGAAGTCAGTTGCACCACATTTCAAAGGCGTACGTGTTCAAAGGATTCATCTGTGCAGACTCTAGAGCTAAACAGAATATTGACACTGGAGGTATAAAACTGCAAGTCACTACTTCTGCACATTACAGGTAGATAACAAATCTAATTCTGTTTGCTCAATTGTAATGGTGTATGAATTTTCAATTAGCACTAGTAACTCATTACTCAAAATGTAATCTAACAAGAAGGCTATCAACTCATCCTATGTTTTATGGTATTTGCCACAGCGGTCTCTTTTCCTGCCCTCCCCACTTTGATATCAATCTCTTTCATCCTACCTGGATATCCCCTCTGTTCCTTCAATAGCTCTGCATCCCATCCCATGTTTTTCCTGCCCTGGCTTTTTATCAGACATTTTTATTCTCCCCCCCACTTTCTGCCCTCTTTTCCCTGCAGACCTACTCTTTACCTCACCTTTACTTGCTTCAGTTTTTTTCATTTTCTCTCTCTCTCTCTCTCTGAATAATAGGATTTCCTTTAGTCTACACAGACAATTGATTTTCCAGGTATTCTGGGTTGGATGCAAAGAGTTAAGTTTTAAAAATAAAAATCTATTCTCATTCAGGATCCAAGATCCTCTGGAAGTCACGGCTGTGACCTAAAAGCCCTTCTGTTTGTAAGAAGAAGAGCCCTGCTGGATCTACTCCATCATCCTGTCTCACACAGTGGCCAACCAGTTACTCTGGACCGCCAGCAACAGGGAAAAGAGGCTGAGGCATTTCCCTGATGTGTGGTGCTTAGGTGTACTAGCACATTGCACTGGATAAAAGGGACCATCTTCTTTGTAATCACACAGTCCAAGGCCTAAGTCCTAGTATTAACAGTAGGTTCTGGAATCTAGTTCTACTTCAAGTGCACATCAAATGCCTCCATACAATTGTGTCAGCTAAACTTGCTCCCCATTCATCAAAATTAGAGCAAATCTGAAGCAATTTGTTCTCTGTGCACTTTTCACTACAGCTGTTTTCTACTTGTAGTACATAGTGACATGGACTGTGGAGTTAAATCTATTATTTGTATGGGTATCAACAGGTAAATGATACTACTTTTGTGCAGATTACTGGTAGGCTACAAAATGCCTCCATACAGTTGTCAGCTAAACCTGCTCCCCATTCATCAAAATTAGAGCCAATCTGAAGCAATTTGTTCTCTGTGCACTTTTCACTACAGCTGTTTTCTACTTGTAGTACATAGTGACATGGACTGTGGAGTTAAATCTATTATTTGTATGGGTATCAACAGGTAAATGATACTACTTTTGTGCAGATTACTGGACTGGCTGACCTGTGGATCCTTCCTACTGTATAATTCTCATTTTCATGTCTTACAAAAAGCAAGAAAATGTCATTTAATGTTTAATTTTGTATCCAAATGTATTTATTAGGAAATTTAAGACAGTTCATAATTGACCATCACCAGGTATTTTGGGGGGAAGGAAACAATAGAGAAGAATGGGGTTCAGTCATCTCCATCTGTTTTGTTTTTTTAAAGCCTTCTATTTGAATTTTAGTTAGGTAAAAATGTAGTTTAGCCCTGACCTGGATAGCACAAGCTAGCCCAATATAACCAGATCTCAGAAGCTAAGCAGGGTCTGGCCCAATTAGTATTTGGATGGGAGACCACCAAGGACTACCAGAGGATACTATAAAGAGACAGGCAATGACAAATCACTTCTAAAAGTCTCTTGCCTTGAAAAACCTATGGGGTTGCCATAAGTCGGCTGAGAGTTTTAGCATTTTGAAACTGGTGATCTAGAATATTTAAAAATAAAGTAGTGCTTGAAGATCACAGTGGCTATTCAAGCCATGGAAATACTCATTTGCCTCAATGCGAGCTTTTAAATTTTCCCATGTACTATTGTTGCTGTAAACAGATCATGCCGATTACCTCTCATTACATTTAATAGTTAAAGTCACCAGACCCTGTTCCAAAAATATAAGCAGCAAAACTAGGCTAGCCACAGACAAGGAAGGCGTTTCTATGTACTCAAGGGACACCCCAGGCATGTTGTCCCCCCATTTTTTTTTTCACTACTGGTTTTTCTGAAAACCTGGGGACTTCTTCAGGCTTGCAGAAACATTGGCCTTGGTTTGCTTGAGCATATGCTTTGACTTTATCACCATGAATGAACAATATATCCTGCTACAGCTGTAGCTGGGTGGGGCCACATGCTGCAGAAAAATCTGGCAGCTCCAGTAGCACTGTTCATTGTGTGCCTAGACAAGAAAGCCAGGGAAGACAAATGAAATCTATTATTCCCTGCCATAAGTAAAGGTCAGATAAGATCTTTCTGCTGTTCCTCCCAAATTATTTGTAGGCCTAAATCTGAATAGAAAAGTGTGCATAATTAGCACACTGTTTATATAAAATGCAAAAACAGTGCTCAAAATTGGGGCCTATACAGTTACAAGGGAAAAAAAAGAAGGGACTTTTGAAAATAATTGGTCGAGAGTATACAGACGGATTGAGGATTATATCCAGAAAGCTTGAAAATAATTATAAAAGTAGACACTATTCCTATAATTGATTGTTCGATTAGGTATAGGTGTATAAGATAAGATTTAATTCAATTTTCTTATGTTAACTAGAGACAAAGTATAAGCTCCACTATTGTTGTTGTTTGTTGTGTTTGTCGTTTTTGTTGTCGTCCTATTCTTGTAGTATCTTTTTTCTTTCCTGACGACAATAACATTTTTTGTGTATGAACAAAATTGGGGCCTGGGATACAGGACAATCCTAACTACTGAAAAACTATTTTGAGTAGTCTAAGTATCCCTTTGTCCTCAATTTAAATGCCATGCACTTCAGATTGAATGCATTTGTTTCAAAGCATTCTGTCCAACAACA